AAACAGTTTTGGATTTTTTTGAACCTGCCAATGACAATGGACAATAAATGTACTTTATTACCTGTACGTGTATAGTGAGCCATTCAACTACAAATACATTTGTATTTTATTTACAAATATTTCATTTTGATCCTATTATTTATTTGGTTATCATTTGGTTATTAATTTCTTTATTCATTAATGACATGTGTATGTAAATATATTATCCCAAGACTTAACACATTTATGTCAATAAAACAGTTTAAATTGTACAACTTTTTGTCTCTTGACACAGAATGCCCCGCCCACTTTGAAAAAAAAGTAAAATATACCCAACCTCTACAGAAAGGCCACCTTTATATAGTGGTCACTTTAGCCTGGTCCCTTGGGTGACCACTATACACAGGTTTGACTGTAATAAAAAACAAACATGGCTGCCCCTAGGGTTTGACAAAGATGTTTGCTAAATCTGTTCTAAACTCAAGACAGTATGAGGTAACATCAAGGTGCAACAGGGACGAAATGAGAAGTCTATGTAACATTATGTTGCACTTTCTATTTATTGTTGGTCAAAATTTTCTGTGTAGGATGGATGCATTTGGTGTGTATTTCAGTTATTTTCCCAAACCAAGTGCAAGGTAAAAATGACATCATACATTTAAATAACCAGTACCCGGTATGAGTGATGGACTATAGACAATAGATCAAATTTTCATACTGACTGAAGCAATTCAAATAAGTAATTGCATTACATAGTCCCACAAGTTTGAGAAATATATAAAGTAACATGGTAGATATGGTTAAAAAACTGCATTCACTCAAAATGTAATTATCATAATTTAAGTCAATAAATCAAATACGAGTTAAAAATTTTTTTTTTCAAGTGTTGACTGCTGTAAAGAATGTCTTTTTTTCACTGATTTTGTTTGAGATCTTGGATAGGTCAAGTAACTGGAATCTCATCAACATGTCTAGCACATCGCCATGCGTCAAGTCACTGCTGTCATTGCAATTTATGTCATTGTTGTCTGTAGATTCATGGTTTTCTTTGGCTGCAATAAAACTAGCCGTCATGCGTTGCTTCAGTCAGTGTACATTCATCAAAATTGAGGTATTCGTCAATGCTACACTGTGTTTGCCGGTCTGCAACTTGCTGAATGAGGTTTTCAATTTCTTCATCGTCGTTGACCAAAAACAGAATGACTGAAAGTCCGAACTTGTGCGATATTTACCAAAATAACACATCTGCATCATTATGAAACAAGCCATGACATGGCACAGTCCCGTTAGTTATCAAATTTAAGATATATAGTTTTGTTTACAGTAATATAGCTGGAATATAACCATGTCAGGAATATGATTAAAACATTAAAATGATTGACATTTGTATCTGATCGTCAAACAAGTACTTGTCCATATTGAGAGATACTGCTCTGGAACAGCATTCAAAATCAGCCATTTTGAATACGTGTATAAATATATAACATGATGTATAACAAATACATAAAATTTGAATATAATCAATCAAAGCATTTAAGAGATATGGCTCTAGAAGACCAATCATTAAAACAAAATGGCCACCAGTCAGCCATTTTGAATCCAATCTGAAAAATAAAATGATGTGTATCAGGAACCTGTAATTTCTAATTACAAGTTATAAGTGTGAACGAAATCCATCAATAAATGCCAGAAATGCTTGATATTTGATGATTGTTTAGCACAAAAATGACCACCATTTGGCCATTTTGAATAGGATCGTCAAACCAATATATCTGTATATCTATGACATGATCTATAATGATTATTTAAAATTTTAACACAATCAGTCAAAGCAAGTCAGAGATATGGCACTAGAACCACATTTATTAAAACAAAATGGCCGCCAGTCGGCCATTTTGAATCTTATCTGAAAAACAAAATGATGTGCATAAAGATTCTATAATGTGTATAACGTATATACCAATTTTGAACAAAATCCATCAGTAAACAGCCGAAAATGCTTGATTTTGATGATTTTTAGCACAAAATTGGCCGCCATTCGGCCATCTTGAATCAGATCGTGAAACAAATCGACGTGCATATGTATAATATCATGTATGATGTATGTGTGAAGTTTGTTTGTGATTGGTCCAGGCATTTCTAAGATACAGGTCCAGACGCACGCACCGACAGACGCACGAATGGACGGACACACGAAGGTCAAAACATAATTCCCCGTTTTCATACTGCTTCCGAACAGGGACCAAAAAAGGAAATGCAGTGTCTTTTGCTCGCTGAAGAGGTGATAACGCTGATCATTTGTCCGGGGTCATTATACTGTCCAGACACTGTGACGTTCACAGTAAATTGAACACAATGCATAATTTTTAGGTCAGGCAGACCAGATTACTAGACAGGTGATGTGAAGCAACTGGTCAGTTGGTCGATGTATCCAGTGTGAATATTGGACTTGGGACCGATCAATGCATGTTCGGAGTAGATGGGGCTACATAAATCGGTCGGTTCTGATATAGGTTTATCCAGGGGTCAATTTTGACAGATTATACTGTATAATATTATTTTCTTTATCATAGTTGGTTTCAATATGAATATGCATTGTCATAATTAATTTTGAGTACAAACAAGTTTTGGGGTTGAAACGGCAGTGGGAAAGCAGTATATCAAAATTGCTTGATTGATGTCAACATCTTACAAAAACATTGGTGCCTAATTTAAATCTCATCGCAGAAAAGTGCTGCATTTAAACCTGAACATAATCTTGAAGCATGCAAGATAACAGAAAATCTTAGCTGTTTTTTGTATAGGTATTTCTGTCAAAAATTTAATGATTTACTGAGACAAATATGAACTGCTTCATTATATTCATTGTTCGATGACTGTATTATTTGAAAAGCAAAAAACGCCCTCTATGGATAACAATCACATTACAAGCTCTGCTTTGTATGCAAATCAACTGTAAATGTACCATGTTATCTAAAATTAGTTGGTGTTCAGTGGAGAAAGATGCTGCCTAAAGCTAAGAATCTACATCTTCAAATACTGCAATTTTTGTCTTTAAAGTGTTTTTGAATTATTATTATTATAAAAGATTTAAAATTGTGTTCTAATAGCTGAAACAAATTCCTGTAAGTTTAGATTTTCTAAATTTATATACTTTGACATTTCTTTGTCGAATACATATTTTAAGTACCGGATTCTGACGTAAATTCACCCTGGGTCGTTAAACGGCAGTTGGGGTTTTTAAAAAAATGAAATGGGCGATTTTTCGTCAGTTTTTAATTTAAAAAAAAAATATTTTGGCTTAATTTTTCAGACATTTCAATCGTTCCCGACGCCTAAAATAGTCCATCAAGTTTTTATTCAAAAGTATGTTCATTGTCATTAGCGTGAATGGGTAAGCTTTCGTTTCGACAATGAACTGTTATCACTGTAAACAATGTTAATTATTCTTCTAATGCTCAGTTTATCTTTCGAAAACAAATATATTTTTTTTATTTGAAAAAAAAAATCATGTCATTTTTCCATCAAAATCCAAGCCAAAAGATTGTACTACAACATCAGAAAATCTCTTCCGCGTTGTGTTCAATAACATTAACATATTTAAATGAGCTATGGTAATTTGAACACGTTGGCATCGTCCAGCATTTTGATTGGTTAATTAGCGATTTTACCAATTAGGTCATTTCTTGCAAAAGATGGCGAATACCCAAGGGCATCGAGCGGAATACGACCGAAATCATTTGCTTACGATGAAACTAAGTTGCATTTTATTTGCATTTCATAACAATTCAATGAATTTATTTTTTGTGCGTTATATAATCACTACTGAGTAATAATCAACAATTGTGTAACGCAGCATGACTGCAAATGTGATCGTTTGCAACTACGCAATGCAGTTGTTTTCGTTTTTTATTTGAAACTTCGTTTAGAATATACTTTCGTTACCAATAAAATTTTAAAAAATGTATTTGAAAAATGACACTGGGTGACATTGGAATGATATTTCAGGTGGTCTACTTTTTAATTTAGCAAGAGAAAAAAATGTATCAAATTTGAGATTAGTTTCTGCAATACTTCTTTCGTCTTGGGTGGCCCAACTGACGGCGTAGTTGGATTTTTCAATGAAAATAGAAGTCCCTGAAACATTTTTGATGATTATTTGTCAAAAATTTGTTCCCCAAATAAGCACCCACCGGCCAAAATTTTTTTGGATGGGCGAATTTATGGCAGAACCTGGTAGTTAATATAATTTTTAATACATGAAATGCACAAAAATTTTATTGAATTTCCAAAAAAAAAAAAATCCGACCGACCGACCGATTTTTCAATTTTCCGACTTGAGGGCAACATAATTTTTTTGGCTTAATCGCCAATCTAGTTGTTTTGGTTTCAAAGTCACAGTAAAGAAATAGTATACAAGCCCCAAGTGAGTGCATTATACAGACTTCCTAGAGTTTACGACAACCCTAACCTAATAATACCGATGTCGTCAAAAATAATATTTGTGCTATGATAAATTGATTTTCTTACTTATTCATTGAATCCAACATTTTCATTCTAAATTTAAAACAAATCCTTGTCCAATGTACTAATAAAACTAATACAGTCACAAGCAGTCTGTGAAAAGTGGAACAAATGTACTAACACTATGAATAAATTATGCAAATTAGTAACATTTGCCTCTTGGTTTATACTTTTAAACATTCTCACAAAAATGTAAAGAAATACAAATTATAATACAAATGTAGAATGAAAATTCAAATGTGTTTGTTCAAAAATTTGAGTACACTATCTGCACCACACGAGGAAGAAAATACTTCATGTTTCTAGTTCCATGTAGATGGCTAATTGTCTCATACTTTCTAAACTAACAAAACATTTCTGCCCCACATATTCATTTTCCAGTGGGAATATTCAAATTACATGCTAATTAATATGTGCTCTCATACAGTATGTGGTAACATCTCTGCTATGTGTTGTCAATACTAATGTTTTATTTTGTTGTATCCTCCATAACAAACAAACTTGATCCAACCATAGACCTAGGGTCTATGATCCAACTTTGATTATAAACCAATGCATCATGGGAAATGTCATTTGAATGGCTCACCCATTCTCATTTTTACTACAATGTATGTATACTGTGCTAACATCTTATACTCATTGAGTATAAATCACTGCCTTCAAACAAAGCATTGCAAAAAATAGTGATATTGATTTCCACGAATCAAAATTTGTGTATTTCGAAAGTATGTAATTTGTAATCATGTTTCAATTAAATGAAAAAAAGTGAATAAGTACAATTATTAACAAATGAATAAATTCTGGGTATTTGAAATCATGAGTAGGCTTCTACCCCAATTCAAATATTTAATAGAGATTGGCTAAACATTGTTTATGTCCATAATTCGTACAAGCCTTCACCTAACATAGCCCACTTATTCAAAATCAGGACTGATTGGATAATGTTGAACTATAATATTAAATAACGATGATGTCACAATACCATTTCTGGATTTCTATTTTGATTTTTAAAAATGTATATTTATATAGAGGGGGGGGGCAAGGGTTATTTTCGTTCAACGTAATTGCAATATTTTTTTGTTCGTACAACGTAAATAGAAAAAATAAATTCCGTAATTCTGTAATCACAGGCTAGACGTACAACGTAATCAATCAAATATTTTTTTCGTACACAGTAAAAATGTGTCATTTTTCTCGTACGTACAAGAATTTACATCCAAATAAAACAATCGTAAAAAATAATCCAGGGAAATTACATTTCAGAAACTGTAAAACGACTAGATGACACAATTCACTACAAAATTGAATGTCAAGACGTAAAAGGCCCTCTAACCGAATGAAGAGCATTACGAGG